AAGGCACGTAGTTGGTACAAGTTATCGAGCTGATAGTAACGTTTTTTTAAAATTATCATTGAGTATGTAAATATTCCATTTCTAAAATCATAATAAATTTGTGTGATTTATCATATCAACTCGGTCAGTTCGATATTACCTCAAATATTAACTAAGACTGCAGTTACGATCGAGGTTGATGAAACCGTCCTTTTTGATCCGTTTGATAAAAACTTACCCATCGGCGCACGACTCTGTTGAATTGTTTATTCTCGAAAAAACGACCTTCGGATTGGACGGTACTTAAAAAGACTGCACCACGTAACTGTCATGTGCTGGCGTTCCTTAACGACAGCACAGCGGCTGATTGTCGATACGAAATCTCTCTCAGTGATCTGGAGGTAATTGACCTGCTCTCCTCGTCCTTCATCGACTTCCCCTTGCTCTCGGGTGTGGTCGTTGTTCGCCTGCATTACAACGGATCGTACCGAAGTCAAATTCTACACGATGAGTCTGTCATCAATTCCAAGAGCAAGACCAAGAAAATAGATTCCATCAATCGAAAGGAAAACAAATTAAAGCAGAGCGTCCATACATTTCTTCATCTTAGATTCGTTGAACTGAAACTTCGAATTGATTTCTTATTACTTACGTGATTAATCTCGAATTGCAATACGTTAATTAATCCTTGAGACTTGCGTCAATAGAAAATGAGTCTGACTCGTTACTGAATCTAGAAGAATTGCTGGGGAAATACACAGAGAGAGAGAGAGAGAGAGAGAGAGAGAGAGAGAGAGAGGCATAGAATGAATTCTGTAATTTTAAAATTTCTTGGACGTCTTCGACTTGTGCTGTTCATTCTTCTCTTCACTTCTCCATTCATACCATTGAGATGTTAACACTTGTTTTATGCTGACCTTTGACAATCTTCCACTATTAAAAATCTTGAAGATCAATGCGTCACCGTTGACCTTTGCACAAGTAGCTGGGACTAGATAATGCCTTAGGGCCGTTCGCATTCGACATCGTTGTCTGGAAATTTATCTCTTAAGGACGAGCGTCATTTCGCGAATCCCCCGGAGAATACAGCAGAAATGCATCTCTGTAATTTTCCAATAGCACATCAATATTTCAGCTATATATATATCATACATAGTCACTATGAATTAGTACATACTTATATTTATTACTCATATTCGATTATTTCTTACAACATCTCAATTCTCAACGATTGGATTGAATCCATTCTTTTTCTTGGAATATTTCAGCTACAGTGTTTTTTTTTTTTTTTTTTTTTTTTTTTTTTAATAAACTTGGGTTCTTTGATACTTATTACCAAAGGAAAAAAATACGTTGATATTTAGTACATTGTTTTCAGTGTTCTTATATTTACGTTGTATATTTTGCTGAACGATTAAGGAACAAAGGAAAACCCGTACGTTGTTACCCCCGAATTATCGATTTTTTTACACTTGGACAATCTTTTCCATCTTTTCCATCTTTCTTTATTTTCCGTTCCGGGGCCACGGGTGGTAAGAACGCGGAGCGATTATTCCAGTATAATTCGCCGTTTAGCGGACGTCCTTGTCGCGACTGACGCACTCAGGGAGAACCGATCTCCGTTCAGGCCTTCTCCATACAACGTATATACCCGGTCTGAATCGTGGCAGCAGCCAGAGGCCAGGCGCGGCGCAATGTGCATCTGTATTGTCCGTGTGTATGTGCGTACACAATGCGATTTCATGTGTGGCAGCAATGCACGGCACGATCGAGCACGATACGTGCGTCGACAATCGTCGATGGGGCCTCCCCGATGCATAGAAACGTACGACTTTGACACGTATATATCATGCCACGTATATATCGTATCCCTCCTCCTCCTCCTCCTATCCTCTCTTTCTCTCTTTCGTCCGTGTGGACCTCGTCGCTTCACTTGCCTTCTCGTGCAATTTTATCATGAACGCGAAGAATCTCTGTATTTATATGAGACACAGCTTCGCGATAGTGGTGGTCTTTTTTTTTTTTTCTCTCTTTCACAGATTCGTGTGTGTGTCGATAGTCGCGCACGTGCTCGATCGTGTATTTACGTGTGTACGTGTGTACGTGCGAACGCTCGCCTTCGCATTGTTGCCTTTCACTCGGTTTCTTAGAGCACCCGCTGTATATGCATACATATATATATATATGTATATATATAGATGTAGGTTTACCCGGGAATAGCGCATTATTACCAGCATTACCTCGACGCTGGATCTTCGGAGAGTACGGAAGAGCACATTCCGCGAATTCGTCAGTCACGCGGATGTGTTTCCGACGAAAGAGACCCGAAAAGTTACCAGGAAAATGTTCTTCTCCGATAACTCCGCGATGTACGGAAAAAAAAAAGCGTCTCACCGCGAATACTCCGGTTTTCTTCGAAGCACTCGAGCGTTTAATGAGACGTTCAATTACTCCGCATAAAATCCGAGATCTTACATGTTATTCGATGGTTTAACGTAAGATTTAAGAGTGCTTAAGCAAAAGGTTATCATGCGATAACGAAGCTATTTTGAATTGTTAATTACTTGAGCCTCGAAAAATCTCCGTCGTTCACCATGTCGATTGATCCAGACATTCGATCCAATCATGGGTGATTTTGTAAACTTTGTTTTCACCGATTGCACAAGTACGCAAGGCAATGGCGTGAGTCAACTCTCATTACGTATTATATATTTTACGTGGCGGAAAAAAACTTTTACAATGTAGAATGCGGTGGTTTCTTTCCCGCAATACTTAATATTGTTCGGGCGAATGGAATTGAATCGGATTAAAGCTGAAAATCGGCATCTCTAGAAAGGTAGGCGCGTTTGATTATTGAAATAATGGTCGCGTTTAAATGTGTAATAGCGAGCAAAATGCGGTTCAGTTTCGACTCGATTGATCGAGGGACCGTTTCGCAATCCTTTAACTGGTGTCAAAAAAAAATTAAACAAAAATAAAGGACAAGTGACGTTTGTCTTCAGGGACGAATTACGAGGCGGAAGTTTTCCTCTCGCGTTATTGTCTCGGGACGT